GTTCTCGGGATAAAAGATTTCTTAAAAACTTCTTCATCGACCAAATCTTTAGATATTTTATCAGGGTCATCATTTAATGATGTCGAGGTTTCTTGTTGAGAAGTTAATCCTTCTTGGATCTAACAATATATAACACACATAAGAAAAGTCGTTTAAAATTGCCTTTTTTGTAAACACAAATAGTTTACCTTATCAAGTTCAGCTTCAACCTGCTCCTCATCTAATCCAATATTAACATCAATGATAAAATCAAATAATTCTCTTATACTCATGGTTTTCACGCCTTTCTTCTTAAAATATTCTGTAACATTTGAAATATCTTTTCTTAAAAATTCAAGAGCGTGTGGATGACTATGTTCTACCGATTGGGACACATCAATTATGTACAAAGTCCGAGAAAGTGAAGGAGAACGGATATCTAAGAAAAATTCTAGAGGAAAACGGAATGAGGACAAGGAAGCTAAAAAAGTATGAATTCGTTAAATCATTTTGAATTAATTTATCCTTTATTCTAACGCGTATCCTTTTGTTAGGAGCGAAAGAAAGTTGTAAAAGAAGAAGCAAGAGAAAAAAGAAAGAATAAAATGCCTAAGGCTGTTAAAAAACGTAAAGTTAAGACTACATCTGGAAAAAAATCCAAATAATTTATTTATTCGACTTAATATTATTAATGGACTAAATTAAAAAAAAATGACTTAACGATCTAAACGATTCAATTATTCTTTATTTTATTTTATTTTTTTATTGTTGAAACTATATCAAAAATTATAAGGGCTTATCGCTTTTATTTTATAAAATCTTAAAATTTTGATAATTAAATTATTATAGTAGCCAAAATTGCAAACCTAAAGATTATATTTATGAATATGATCAAAACTTGGAAGTTTCTTCTCAAGCGAAGTTAATTGTACTTGAAAGTGGTAACAGTTATGGAAAGTCATGTTATTTATTTTATTTGTTTTCTTCCACTTTTTTATATCAGCATTGGCTACTAGATGTACATTCCCGAAGAATTTCGGGCCTGTAAACTGTACTGTACGAAAGTATTTCAGCAAATCATTGTACAATAAAATATGATTGGTGGTTATCATTTTTCATACAGTACAGTTTATATGTATACCCAAGAATTTCTACTTATTTATATTCATAAGAATATGAACAAAAATTGAGGTTCGAATGACTGTTAATAATCTTACAATTTTTAAACAGTAAAATTCTACAGATGAACTTTAATTTTATCATCTTACCTTTATATATTTGAATTAATAATTTAAATTAAAAAGAAAAGGAAAATATTTGTGTAATAAAATGAATTGCAACTTGTATTGATTTAAATTCCACTTAATTGTCAATAATTTATAATAAAAATTCTTTTTGTTCAAAAGTTGTGATATATAACGCGTTAACGTACAGTACATTAATATTGATATCCATCTTTGAACCAAAAGACGATTTCTTTTATATTAAGGACATCGCAGGAAGATCACTGGATGAGATGCTCAAAACAATCGCCAGCATCTTTTAATAGCGATAGAAACCTCAAAGAAATTTCCATTGAGATATAATATGCGAAATCACAAAATGGAACTTTCGGTTTCGAACTATCCGAATCCTTAATTTGGAAACATTCGTAGATCGGACGAAACCTTATTTTCCTTCAAAAACATATCAATAGGTTACATTAAAAATCCTATTTTATATATGAAATTATAAGCTAATAGCCTGCATTCTAACGTTTGATTATCTTAAAAACATTAAATGCAAAATCGTTTTATACTCCAAAAATTTTTTCTAATCAATATAACATTTATTAATCAAAAGTAAAAATTTAAACAAAGTGGATATGAATCATGGAATGTTAACCTTTATCGGAGCGAGTTGTTCTGGTGTTCATGGCTGACAATTGCTAATCAAAATACCGGCCATGACAAAAGTGTCATTTTTGATGCAAAAATCATTTTAACGAAACAAAATTGTTTAAAATTTATTTTACAATGGGAAGCGACGAGTGCGCAGATCAAATACCCGTCATTTTCCTATTTGAAACGCTAATAATACATATCATGCGCAGAAATGGCCAGTCACCCATCTTAAGTCACACAAATATTAATTTTGTATTTTCCATAGAATTCTAGAATGTTAAATTGGAGAACTAAAATTGGAATCAAAATTAAAACAGAACATTCTTTAGTAACACCTTAACATTGATAACACTTATAAATGTTCTGTTTTTCAAATGATTTGAATTAAATAAACAAAATGGAACTTTCAATTTCAAATAATGAAAATACGACTCCAAAATTAAAATCCAGTCCTATACCAATTACGTTTATTCCTTTTAAAAATGAATTTAAATGTCATTGTGGAAATAGTTACACTTGGACACATTCTCAACAATATTATTGTAAAAATTGCTTATCCAAGTATATTAGTTGCATAACTGATAATAATACGTATTTGGATGTACTTAT